ACTGCAAAAGAAAAAATGTTATTTTGGCTTCTATTTTCTAGTAAGAGTATCCAAAACATCCTGATTCTGCCAGCCACAGTTGCTCCTTTTGCATCCGCCGGTATTCCCCCTGTTATAAACCGGTTAAACCAGGACAATACAGTGTATTACGGCCTCGTATTTTGCTTGTTCTTTTGACCTTATATGGTAAAATGACATAATAGTGGAATAATAAAGCTTAATATTGTGAACTACTATGTCTAGTATAGCCTGTAAACTAACGTTGTTTTATTTTTCTTTTCGTTATTTTCAAAAATATCGGCGAGCTCGCGCGAGAACGAGCGCGGAGCGCTAGAAAGAAAAACAAAGAACGTCTATTTTCTTCTTCCCCTAGCACTACCCCCTTGTGCCGGAGGTCAATAAATCTCCTGCGGTTTATATTTTACTACCCGCGCTCGATGGTCTTTGAAGAGAAAAGTCTAGTAACACTGGCCTTTTTTCCTCATAAGAGCGAATTGAAGAAAACAACTGCATTACAGTTGAATTCACTGATGTCCGAATTCAAAATTTTGACCTTCCCTGAGGGGCTAAATGACTTAGAGTATAAGAAACCGAAAGAAAAAAACTTTAATTGAGGACGCAGAATTGCATTCATGACGAGTCTTTCGAAAGTTGCCGAAAAGTTCTTCCCTTATGGAACACTAATCCTTTTTATGTAACAACGTGTCTATCCTTTGGCTAATCACAATTCCTCTCAGGTAAAAATCATCAAGGCCGGAAACTTCAGTCAGCCCAGGCTATCAAGCTTGTAGCTTTCATCAAGAACAACGCTCAGTCCCTCAGAGTGGGATTGGGAAGCTTGTGATGCGCGGCTGTGATGCGTGGAAGTCTGACCAAAAAAGGGATTATCGTCAAATAACTCAAGGTCACCTATGACGCAACGTTTATTTACGTGATCGTCGGAGAAATGACGAAGTAACTTCGCTCGTCACGAGATATTATTTCGTCAGGCAGTAACTGTGGTATTTAAACCCCCGTAAGTGCGAGCGACAACGACAAAGAAGACGTGAATCATATTACAAGACAAAATGCAGAGAAATTTGCAGAGACTGGCCTACATTTTAGTGTGCTTCAGTTGGCTCTCTTTAGGTAAGTGCGAGTATAATAAGCGATGGTCGGTTGCTACACACGTTCACCTTGGCTATTTTGAAGAATTATCTTGAAATAAGTGAGTGAAAATACAGATTGCAGTAAAATTATATTACCTTAATTAGCTAGCTAAAAGGGGCATTAAGCTACAACAAACTTCAAGTGCTCTCTTTAAAATTCAACGGATTCTGGCTCACGGCTTAGCGAGCGCTACAAACCACTAGGAGAACAAAGAAAACATTTCGCATATTATTTCGCTGCGACGAAATATTGTAATTTGTTTAAATTTTTGTAAACTTGATGGATAACGCAATTTATAAGCCGGTTAAGCCAAGGTCGAAGCGACACTTGATATAGTTGATGCCAGATAAGAGCCATCAAGATGGCACGAAATGAAGGCTTTTAATCAATATGGACGGACGCAACAGCAGAGGAACAATATAATTAACATATTAGATCCAGTAACTAACAAGTACAATACCAGCCATTTTAAAATATTTATCAATTCTCGTGGACATTCGTTAATAATTCATGAAATATCAGCTGCTCATGCGTTACTTTGAATTATTTTCGATGCTTTATTCTTCTTCAAACGAACAGTGGCCTTTGATCGTTATTATTTATTATTTATTATTTTATTGTGTTTTGTTCTAATTATCGATGACTTGACCGGATAATTGCCATGACTTCCATTCCCTAGCCAACGCAATTTTGTTCGACGCAATTCAGATTAAGACTGGCATCCTCTGGCACTTTCCAGAACGTCAATACGTGCTGTTGTTTTCAGAATAAATGAAACATAGCTAGGTTTCCTGTGCCATGAAGTTTCGTCTTCCCACGTGCCCAACGCCTCGTAGAAAGCTCACCGATGGAACCCGGAGGTTCCTCGAAGCGTTTTTCACGTCGTTACTTTGAGCGCGCGTCATAAAATATTCAAAGCGACGAAATCAAGCAACTCCGTGTTAATCAAGTTCATTGGGCCGATGTCACGATTTTCCAGCCATTCGAGAACTACCCTGCGAGCAGAGGTTTCTTTCAGTCTGACATGGCCTTTAGCATTTGCGAAGCCTTTCATGACAGTAAGAAACCTCCGCTCACAGGGTAAATTCGAGAATATAAACTTCGCCACTGATTCCTATTTTATTGTTCAATATTTTGCTTGTTTCATTAAGCCACAGTACCGTTTTACACTCTAAATTTTAGAAGACTTGCCCGGATCGAGCTTAGTTTTGAACTTGAATTCTTTCTGAAACGAAACGAAAAAAAGACATAAAGCAGAGAAAGGTTTGTCTTAATCGATGTCACTGATATCATATTCAGTTTTCAGTCGTGTCCCTGTCGTGTCGACATTTAGGTGGCCAGCCAAAAGACTAATTTGTTACAAGCCCGCTACAAGTAGCGCCCATTAGTTCTCCTGCCCTCCGCGTGAAAGGGAAGAAGAGACGCAAGTGACAAGCATTAAATTGAAGATGATTTATTTTAACTAGCTATAATAACATTTCAAATTTTCCATCTGGAGAATAATCTCGATTTGTATACGACTGTGATGAAACGTTCTTTGAAAATCAACAGCCTATTGCGATTTAATTGAATGATTACTGAGGAATTTTTCCCTGGCCAGTCAACCAAGCACATCCTCATGCGATCACGAAAGACACAAATTAAATATTTGCAATTTAACGGATTTTAAGGCATTCCCGTGGATCGTGAAATTCTTTTGGCTTCCGAGCGAAGATGATAAGCTATGTCACTACTTAAGAACATAGATCCCCTTCTGTTGAACCCGCTTAGTTCAAGTCAGTGAAGTTCGTAAAAAGCACTTATCCGGAGTTTCCCCCCTGGGCGTGAAACTCCAACGTGCGTTTAAAAATTTTAGCTCCTTGAAATGACACTGACCGAAATGAGAATCATTGTATCGTGTCAACCTGTGGATTAGCGAATTTTGGAAATGAAATTCTTAGCGCTAATCTTCTGAGAGACTCTTCGTTTTGAGCCTTGGTTCTTCAATGAAAATTTAGCAGTTTTTCTTAGTTTGCATCACACATCCACACCAATCCTGCCTCAATGTCATATGTTGGACTCGTCTTGGGCCCACATGAATGAAATGTCGCGAGAGAATTTTCAGCGACTTTAGGATTTTCCGATGATAAAAATGGTAAATAAAGTATGTGTCCATTTTTTTTTATTTCAACAAAGAAAAAAGCCTACAGGCTACAGCTTGCGAGCAAGCACACCAGTTGATTTGAGAATCGATCGCGAGAAGCGTAGAGGTCAGTGGGTCTCCATTCTTTCATGAACAATTTATCTCCTTTTTTTCAAACAAAACTTTTTTAAAAACGAAGATTTCTGCTTTATTTCCTTACTTGATCTCTGCAAAGAAAAATAAATCTCTTTTAATTAAGTTTAAGACCACAAGTACTGTACAATGTTTATTTGTCTTTCGACCCCAGTTTCGCAACTGAGTGCATGCTTATTAAATTAATTAGCCTGCGTAGCCCGCGAGATCGTTAGCGCGAGCAAAGTTTTGGCAGAGGAGCATAGGTGGCCTTGCGGAGAATCGATCCGCAGAGAATGGCGGATTCTCTGCTAGCTTCTGCTAAAACTCTTGCGCACAGTAACAATTCAGCCAGCTACGCAGGCTACTAATCGAGTGCTAGGTCGCCGAACTCTGAGGGTGTTTACAATCTGAAAAAAGACAGTTGACAGGTTTCTGGATCGGTTTCGAACTGCAGCACTTTTCTTTTTCTGCGAAACGGCTTGCAAAACAGTCACTGCCAATCATTAGATAATAAGTGACCCTCATTTAAAATGGATTTCCAACGTCGCGTTAATTTTACATGCGTAAAGAAAACAGAAGTCCACGCGTAAAAGTAAAAATTAAGCGAGGTCAGTTTTACGTGTACAAGCACCTTCCATACATTCCCTCTTTTTTATTTACGCGCGTAAATAAGGAAGAGGAAGAAACCGGGTTAACATATATTTCACACGACAAACTAAACTGCCCTGGACCCCGGGCCTGGACCATCTCGCATAATTATTTCCACGTGCATCTCTTTCGCCAGCGTTTCGTTCGCGCCTTGCAACCCGATTTTTGAAGAGAAAAAAAGAAGAAAAAGAAACACTGTTTGCATTCTACTTCCTCAAGGGCAGCTGAAGCAAGTTACATTCCTTATCACTGCGCGAATCGACAGCTTCCTCTTCCGGTGTCAATATTTCGCTTATGATAGCGTGTCATCATCGCATTCGTTGAGAGAAAAGTGACGTAAATTTTTAATTTCATCTTTCAAGCATTTGAAAGACGAAAGAAACATAGTTAATTCTACCATTCCATCATACCTGTATTTCCTTGAACTTAGCTGTTTATTATTGTTATTTTAATCGGTAACACCTGTACATAATGGTAATACTGAATAAACTTGCTGTCTTGTTAATCTACCTAATAATTATAACTTTCCTTTGTTGATCCTTTGCAAATTCGCATTTTTACACAAACAAAGTCGAAATCATTAAATCCCTAATCGGGAAAATTATCATCTGCTAAAAATTCCTGAAACCCATCCCCCGGATGAAAGCTGATAGATCATCAAAATTCCAAACAAAACGTGTCACTTTCACTTGGCCCTAAGTGTGATGACGTCATAATCTTTAGGTGCGGTGCATACAGAACTGTTGACACTCCGGACGTGTCGAAACAGTTTATGCACGTTTTCGGCTCGTAAATAACGACAAAAGAATCCAACGTTTGATACTTCAACTTTGCCATCAAAACCCACTATCAGCGCCTGAAATCAAAGCCCTGTCTGCGCAGTTTAGCTTTGAATTCCGTATCTGGCTTTCCGTAACTTGTACCACTTGACGGTCTATTTTGGAAGATGGCAAATGATTCGCGCATTGTGATCTTGACTGGATCCATATTCCTTCTGTTCTTCTGTCGTGGTGAGTTCAAATTCCCTTCATGCACTTAAGTCTAGCTTTGATTGATTCGACTGAGTTAACTTTTGCGAGAGTCTCTACATAATTTTGTCCCCGATGTTGCGAAAATTATAAGGAGATGATTGCAGTCCCGGGTGAACTTCGAACGAAGAACTTTTATGTATTTGTGTTGATGTAAGGATTTATTATTTACGCACGTTGACACATGAAGTAGCTTGCCGGCAAATTCAGGTGAACCAGTCAAAACGCCTCCCGCGTAAAACTGATTCTGTCTCAACAATCTCCAAGACCCAACCGATAATTTTCACAATGAAGCAGTCTCCACCGAGATAATTTGACAGGATCTATGGATACGAGATCTCGAAACCATTATATGGGGGGTAGTTTCGATTGGAAAAGAGAAAGCGACCCTCCCCTTGGTATAACTGGTGTAAAATGTTCAATTTTTCTGCCGTCGAGCTTGGCAATTATCGTAAGCTGAGGGGACGAAACAAGAAACTCATCTTCAAGTTTACTGCTTCTCCCGGGAGGAAGGGGGGGGGGGGGTAGGCGGGGATCTGTTTTTACCCGCAAAAGGAAAGTACAGTTTCGGTATATGTAATTGTAAATCCCGCTGCTGGAATGTGAAATTTTTTACTAGAAATTTTAAGCTTCTCAGTCTTTTTTGGATTTTCAATATTAAATCAAATCATATCAGGACAATTACTTCATGAAAGAAAACTATTTTCAGCAGGGTATACGTCCTATAAGTGTATGGATTTTTGACTTGACCTTGTCACAGACGGGGTCAGCAAGTCTTATCTAATCAGCACTGTCTTTAGTCCACCAGCCAGTCCACAAAATGATGTGCATGCCAACCATACATCATTTTCACTGCATTTTTACGAGTGAAAACGTTTTTCTCTCTGTCATTTAAGTACAGAAGGGCTAGCTTGCGTGCAAGTCCTCTTCCCTGTACGGAAACAAGAGAATTTTTGAAGTCATGAACAAGTCGGAGTAACTTCCTGTTTTGACCTCGAGATAATTACCATGCGAGCGATTGAGTCCAATGTCTGATGGCGTCCTTCGTTTACCCCCACCGAAGACAGCTGCCGTCTGACACAGGCGTCGTTTTCTCAATCCTCTGCTTAGTGAGATTCTCTATTAGCTGGCTACCTTATTGGTACTTAATTTCGCTGGTCTTTAATTTCGCGTTTTTCACAATTGTAAAAAAATCGCGAAATTAAAGACCCGCGAAATTAAATCTTCGCGAAATTTAATGCCCATCTAGAAAATCACAAGACAGTGCATATGCATCGACAAGCTGGAGTTCCATATTGTATCTTCAGTTGAGAAATACTTCACGTTAGTTAGCAAAGATTTCACACATTTCTTGTTCATTAAGGGTTCAGACCTTTTAAAAATTAAAATGAAGTTGAAAACGCTTAAATCGCGAAATTTAATGCCCTTTCTTCATATTTGCCTGTTAAAATTGCGGAAATAAAACACCACGAAACACTTTCTCGCCAAAACCGCGAAATTTAGTACCAATATAGAGTATACAAAGGTCAAAATATGTGGCAAAATGCTTTCATTATTAATCATATTTCGCCGTTGTGGAATATGGCTCAAGCAAAATATTGAATGTTCTTGATGTCGAGCAGAAACTCCGGCTAGTTGTTAGCTCAGTTTTCCCGGCGCTCGCTCAATCGCTGTTCCTATTTTAAAATGAGCTCGTAACCGCTACTGACAGACTCTTTATCTGGGCCCCAGTTCTTTATCGCCTCGGTCACCACTGGTTGAACGCCTTGAACAGGCTAGTTTTACACTTCTAGATTTACACTTCTAGATTTAAACAACTTAGACTTCCAACATAAGCAAACTAATCCTTATTAACTCACAAGAGGATTTAGTGTATTTTAGTTTTGAAAAAATGCTTCTTTTGTTTGAGATGAGCGTGAACAGGAAAGAATTAAGATGGCTGTTTTTATAGACTGCTTGCAGTCCGCCTTTTCTCTCAAAATCCGTCTAGTTCTTATCTTTTCCAGCGCGATTGCAAACCACGACGTGATGATTACCTTAAGGGGTTGACACCAGACGAGAAAAGGCTTTGCCGCTCGCGTGCTTAGGTTTAGCCTGCGTGCAGACGATAACTAAACTCTGATTAGTACGGAGTTAACCAGAGTTTAATTTCGTCTGCGCGCAGGCTAGCTTAGGTTTCGCGTGCAATAGCTTTGCAAAGAAAAATGACAGACTGCTCGCAGTCTACTGTTTTTAAAACAAACAAAGCATTAAATTCTGCTGTTGATGGGGAACGCACCTTGTTTGGCTACACTGATGTGGAAGTGTCCCGGGGGGGGGGGGGGGGCACCCCCAAAATTTCCTTAACGGGGTTGGGCCGCCCAACGGGGGGGGGGTTTTTAAACCCCGGGGTTTGAACGGGGGTACCATTTTCGGGGGGGTTTTTTAAACGGGGGTAAAATTTTCGAACGCCCCAAAACCCCCGGTTTTGTTGGCCCCACTAATGTTTTTAAAAAAAACAAAGCATTAAATTCGGCGGTTGATGGGGAACGCACCTTGTTTGGCTACACTGATGTGGAAGTGGCCCGGGGGGGGGGTACTCCCATACATTACCTATACGGGTATGTGCCGCTCAACGGGGTCGTGATTTTGAAGCTCCTGGTTTAGAACGGGGTATCCATTTCAGAGGCGTTTTCTAAAACGGGGTACAATATTTCGAACGCTCGAAAGCTCCAGTTTTGTTAGCATCCATTTGAATTTATTCAAGGACATATTGCTTTTAAAAATACGGTTCAATGCTTTAACAAGCAAACTGTTATACTCTTGTTACACCCTAGAACGGAGTATACAAAATTGGCCCATTTCTAGAACGGGGTATCAGTTTTAGAGCTAATTCTATAACGGGGTATAAAAAATTGGTCCATTTCTAGAACGGGGTATCAATTTTAGGGAAAAATTTTTTTAGAACGGGGTGCCAATTTGGAGTCCCGGGCGGCACATACCCACCCAAAAAATACCCAAGTGCCCCCCCCCCGGGGGGAAGTGTGCACTTTGACTGAGCCACCACTCCTCTGTGAGAGGGGGGCGCGTTGTTTTGTACGGGGATCTGCTGACCCAAGCACCCTCCGGACCCCCGGCCACCCAAGGATTCTCTATGAGTAAGATCAGTAAGATGCAAAGTGGGTAAAAATCGGGCCGCATAAACGTCTTGTAACTATAACAGCTTAATGGTCCTTTGATACAAATGATTCAAGGTATCCAAATGATGGCTTTAAAATTTGATATATCATTTTGAATAGAGCTGAGAATGCTACTTCGAATTTGAACGTTCCTCTTCTAGAACGGAGAAATTTAGGCTCGATTTCCGCCGCTCTCTTGGTCCTTTTCTGGGAAGGCGCGCGCGGCCGGTAATCGACCCTGCGTTGGTATATGCGGTCATATTACAGGGTGCCGTCATTGGTAGGCGTGTTTGGTTTCCTATAAATACCGGTTATCAAGTCAGTCGGTTTTTATACCATGGAATAGGGTATTCCACATATCCGAAGTTACTGTACTCTTGTATTTTGGCTTCACTACCGTGTACATGCTTTCTAGAAGAACCATTTTCTGTCATGAATTCGGTCTGAAATAGGTGATTTGTTTGTGGGATTCGTTTCTACACGCTTAAGCGTGTTTACAACTAAGAATATTCAAAGTCTGACGTTGCAACCTTTGCCTGATCCATCGCGGTACGGAAACTACTTGTGTTTTCGCCAAAATTTATGCAGTAGGTATATTACTTTTTATAGATAAGGGGTATTTGAATGATTTTGCCTGGTATTGGTGTCTCCAGTTCAGATGTTCATTCTCTATTTTCCAATTCCCCATAATACACTCTGTTTGCCCCCCAAATTTTGCATAAACCATTGTTTTTAAATGCTCCTGGGAGTATTGCATTTTCCCAAGAGCATTTTAAGACAATAAGTTATGCAAAATTTGGGGGGCAGACAGAGTGTATTATGGGGAATTGGAAAATAGTCAATTAAAATAAATATATGATTCTTGCGGGTTTCTACATGTTATATTTTGAAATTGCCCTTTGGATTCTCTGGTCACGTTCATGATCGATTGACGGAAAAAGTTTAAACAATTTGACAAAGAAGGTTCACATCTTCTGTAAATCGGCTACTGGACATGATCTTAGAGTAATTTAACGTTTCCTTTATTTCATGATGCTTAGAGCAAGCCATAGAATGTGGCTTCTTCAAACCATCTGTTCAATGGACGTCCAACTCACCTACTCCAACGCGTGCCTAGTCCTATGCTAACAAAATGGATCATCGCTCAGTCATCACGATTTAGTTTCGAAAGTGAACAGGTTGCTCCGTCTGGTCGCATATAGTCAAAGGCCGCATTGAAGTGCCAGCTAACATTACTTATTGGGAGCAGATCTCGGGTGGAGGGAAGTGTTCGACTTCCTTGGCTGTCCGTGCACACCCTTCTTACCCCAGTTTAGCCTACGAGCAAGCTCTTCATCTGGGGAAATCGCGATGGCGGAATAAATGGAGAGCTGACTCGCATGCTAAACCCCATTTACACCCTCCCCTTATTACTAAATCCTTCCTTCTCTAAATGTATATTAACATTGTTGGTTAAAGAGATTGCTGCTTTACAGCTGCCTCTTGGGCATTCGTAACGTTTTAGTAAACGTTGATCTAGGGTCCCCCGGCAACAACCATCTTTGACTAATAAGCGATGGACACTGGTCTTCCTGATTCGATAAGACTGAGCTGCAAATCATTAGTTAAGAAAGGGTAGTGGAAAAAGCTCATCGTCAGGGTCGGGGCACGTGCTCCGAAGTAGTGGTATTCAAACGGCTAACGGGGCAAACGGACGCAACCTTGCTGGCCAACAACTCCCAAGATATAGCTTCGCAAAGTTGTGGAAATGTACAGAGTTTTGTATGGTGAGAGGATAGTTTTTTTGCCCCCCCCCCCCCCCCCCCCCTTTACAAGTGTTTGTAAAATTTCGCGTCTTTGAGAAGCTATATCCTCGTTAGTTTTTAACAAATCACTTTCAAACTTGGCAGTTTTACTAGTTAAAGGCGCCCTTTCCAGTGATGTCCACGGATGTTTCCCTAACTTGTCCATATCAAAGTTTAAAACCGTAGAAGGGTCTATTTTAGGGCGGTTACCATAAGTCAGAACTGGACGGCCATTCCCGTCCAGTTGTAATGAGAAATTCACTTTTAATCAGAACTGACCAACTAGACCCGGATAGTCTATTTCTAAATAGTCTGCATGGAAATGATGGTTTTTAAGCAATATCTCGTGAAAAAAAGTCTTCTCTATTTTCAACATTACCTGTCCGACCGGTCAGTTCTGACTTTTCGTAAACGTCGAGAATTTTATTCAGGCTTTGGTTCTGTTCATTCTTAATTCCTTACTCTCCTCTGTCGACAGTACACTCGCTTAAATGCTACAAGTGCACAGCAACTTCTGCAGAACAATGTTCAGCGAGCCAAAATGTTACAACATGTGACGATAAACTGGATGGGTACCTGGAGTGTGGTATACTAACGTATGATGACCATGGTTTCCAGTACCTAAAGGATTGTTTATGGCCTAAATTTTGCGACGGGAAGCAAGACAATTGCACTATAAATGTCTGTAATGAAGATTACTGCAACGGTCCACCTCCTCCGACAACAGCTGTAAAGCCAAGCGCTGCTGGACCCAATCCAAGCACAACTCCCACCACGACAGAGGCGGATGAGACCAGAGCACCGCCCAGTCCACGTTCCAATGCCAACAGAAGCCTTACGTGGAGCCTCTATGGAATGTTAGTGTCTGTGCTTGCTATTGGCAAAATGGTGGAAACTTGTAATGTTAGTTGAGAACTAGTTAACAGATGTTTATGTTAAGAGAAATGACATCCCAGCAAATAAGGCACCATTTGTTTGTTAATATCAGATTGCCGCAATTTAATGTACTGTGCATTCGCAGTGAGCCTCGCCTGTAAGATAATCTGAGACCACCCCTTCCTTTTCGTGTTTTTGTCTTCCTAGTTGTGTAGCGCAGTGTTACCGGCAGCGCGATCTTTTATTTTCCTGCCATTTGAACTACAGTCGAACCCCACTTTACGGACACCCACTTAATACGGACACCTCATTATTACGGACACTTTTCCTTGTCCCTGGGGAAAGAAAGCCCTCGCATTTTCCTTAAAATTCATCCCGCTTAATACGGACACCCCGTTAATAAGGACACTATCTATGCCCCCCTCAATGCCCGTATTAAGGGGGTTTGACTGTAGTTTAAAAGGGTCCGTGCAAAATTCCATGACATCCCTGGGACATGGGACAAAATTCAGGACGACAACGTGACGCTATTTGCCCCTCCCCTCCCCCGAGAAAAAAGAAAAGAATGTCATGTTTCCGAGATATAATTTTCCACGGTTTCAATGACTTTTCCTTTTTTACAAGCCGGACAGATTTCCAGAATTTCCATGACCTATACGAACCCTGTTATTTCTTGTGAGTTCAACTAGTCTTTTTCGTGTAGTTTCTATTTTCCTGGATCTGGAGATCAGTTACATCGTTTACGTCGGCCGGTTAATACTCCCAGAAGTGGCCAGAGGGCTAAATCATTTACACCTTCTAAAAGCAATGTATCTGTCGAAGCATTGATGCCTTCATTATTATTACACTTTGAATGGATGTTCTGTACATAGTAATTTTCTAGAATATAGTAGCTAGCTCAGGGCAATTATTATGGATAAATTTAGGTTTCTGGGAAACTGACCACCTACCACTCCCCTAAGCCAACATTTTGCCCTAAGTGAGAAGTAAGGGTTAATGTTAGCTTAGGGGAGGGTTAGGTGGTCAGTTTCCCAGAAACCTACATACCCCCGGTGAGGAGGAGGGTATTCCCCTATATGTGCTATGCGGGTATGTGCCGCTCAGCTGAATACTTACTCTGCCGCCCTGACTCTGGAACGTGGTATTAAAATCACCTTTTATATCTGAAAGAGGGGTACAGTCGACTCTCACTTATTAAAGGACACCTCTTTAGGACGGACACCTAGGGTCGGTTATTAAAACGAAGTCCAACTTAGGCCACGGTTTAGGAAATCTTTGGACCTCCAGATCTCTTCCTTGGTGGGTTCTTTTAAGAAGATAAACGCTTTCGTGTCCACTTTATAAATGGTGTTTACAAAAAAGCGTTCGGCAAACTGAAAATGGCTTAAAACGCGTCTTTGTTTAACACTGGCTAAACTCCGTTTAAACAACTGACCCCTAGAGTTGGCCCCTTCGTTTCCTTGGGCTCCTGCTTACTCCCTTTATTTGACTCTCTATAAGACGGGCATCGCTGCCCCAAAGGTGTTTGTCTTGGAGAGAATTGACCTTTTTATCGATACGGCGGCCATATTGAATTCATTAGATGTAAGGAGTATTATGGGATGCCGAGGGGGCATGAGCAGGATCCAATATACTCGCTCAGTACTTACGCGCGCTTTTCGGGCCAATTTTTCTTTACGCTTTCCTAGAAAAAGATTGTAATGCGTGTTTGGATGTAATAATGATCGCCTTTTTTCCGAGAAGTACACAATGAAGTTCTCGTTTTGCCCGAAAAACGCGCGTAAACACTGAGCGAGTGCTTCCTGGGCATCCCATAATACTCCTTAAATCTATTATATTCAATATGGCGGCCTATTGACCTTCATTACTTCAGTTTGATTCTGGAACAAGGTCGATTTTTTTCTTCCCAATCCCTCATTACTCTCGATCAAGCTTAGGTGCAAAACTACGCTCTGCTCGTCGTTTTATGATGGCCGATCGATTCCCATTTATAGAATTTTTGTCTAGAACAGGTTCAGAGCTTCAAAGACTCAGCTGCACACCCCCATAGTGAATTTAAGGGTGTATACCTTCCCCGTTCCACCGGGAGGACCACTAACGAGCTCTTTATCTGCATCTTAGCCGTTAAATTAGGGATCAAAAAATTGGCTGAGAAGGCTCTTGGGCGAAGTTTGACCGCTTTTGTTGCACTTAATTGAAGTATTATTAGAAGAGACGGTGCAACCTCGTAGCCCTGGGAACGAGGTTGAAGACAATGGCTACTGAGGTTTTTGATGATTGTTCTGAAAAATTAGTAATTATATAATTAGACAACAGACGTTAATTAAAATTCTCACAAAGTTTAAAAAAGATGACTGATACACACTTCTCTTGACTCTCTTTCACAGCGAACTGTCTCATTAGTGGGACACTCTGAGGACTTCCTTAAACGGGGCTCTCTCGCTCTCTCGGGGCCCAAAAACTCAGTAACTCACTTTATCATGAGTGAATTCTTAATGTGCGGTATATGCTTGTGGGACCAGTGTGATTGCCTCACCTCTGAGCCGGATACCCTTAAGGCACTATAGCTGTGTCTTTTATGTGAGTCTCAATGGGGTTTAAACCGTCAGCCGTCAAACGGAAAAAAATCTATATAAAGTTCAAATATTCACAAGAACAATCTCTCTACACATTACCAGACCTTACAACTTACTCGAAATTTCAAAAGTGAAAGGCTAAGACAACCTCCAAAACACAACAGTGAATATTAATTAATACAAAACTCTAGTACACTCACTCTGGTACACTCTAGTCTTAGGGTGCGTTCCTTTGGGATGATCCGGATCAGGATCATTGATCCGAGGTCACTGATCCTGATCCGGATCATCTCAAAGGAACGGACTAAATTTCCCCTTTAAACCATCCAACGTCAAAGCTAACAAACCATTGAGACCCTCTTTTTTTCTATTACGGACAAACAAGTGAAATTGAGCCGAGAATAGTTAACTACTGAAGGCCGAGAAACACGGGCAGCATCATTTTTGTTTCTCCTCTGTCAACTTGTCGCGCTTGAAATATTTCACGGAAAAGAAAAACAAAATAATCAAACTTTCTCGCGCATATTCCAGCAGTATTTGCGCTGGGAATGTTTAAGAAAACACAAGAATGCGATTACAAACTCTTTGAGCTGTTCATTATTTTAAGACTTACAAATTCCTGCTCGTTTTTCTTTAATTAAAAACAAAAAGTCTCTTTCCACTCTTTTGATACACAGCCGTCCAAGGGGCGGCCACTTTAGTATGGGAGAGGAGTTGCGCGAAGAGATGGTTGACACTTCAGGCCACTCTCGCCGAGCAGCCCATTGGGGGGAGGGAGGTATTGCGAAGAGACGGCTGGAACTTCAGACCACTCTCGCCTCGCCGCCCATTAGCGGGGTTTGCGAAGAGACAACTGACACTTCAGACCACTTTTCAAACAATTTTAAAAACGCAATGTCAGTGAGATGTCTGTCTTATCTCAACCAGTAGATTTTGCACTGCACCAGTGCGTGCCATCAAATTTATCATCGTCGGGTCCCCAAGTAAATTCCGTGAACATATTGGTGTTCACCCAAGCTGTGAATTGGGTTTCTGCCTCACTTGGTGACAAAACAGCGCACTTCCTGGCAACCAAGGTGACAAATACTTTGACAAGACCAAGCTTGTGTAATGCTGCTATAATATCCGGAGACTCACAGATGAAGTAGTCGAACAGCGGCACGATACAGCCGCCTTTGGCATGAGACCAAAGAGTTATTTTACCCGCTAGAGGACGCAAAATATCGATACGCTCTGCCATCTCCTCGGACACTTTGAAACCCGGTGTTAATTTGCACGTTTCAGTGGGTAGAAGAGAAAACATGGCATTTGGAAGAAAATCCGGGGACAGATACTTCGCAGATTTTCTATCTGCAGCTTCATTAAAGTTCATTCCACACAGGTTCATCTTCCCTGTGTTCTGACCAAGGTCACAAACAGCCCACATAGCGCTTATTGTGTTCACATTTCGTGTCCATGTCGATGACTTCTCCACCAAGTAAGCCACGTCAGTGGCAGGGCCACCCACAGTCATGTGAACAGTTGAATATCTACAAAGTACAGGATAAAGCTGGTCTAACGTCAACCAGTGTGACCCCACGGAGTTAAATGCAAAATCAGCTATACCAGTGAGTTGGTTGATAAACTGGCGGGCAAGTTTTCTCCGTTGGTCGAAATTTTGAAAGACGTCGGATTGGTCGCAGCGTTTGTTGGATAGGTGATCGTACTCATATGGTGTGACCCAACAGTTGTGACAGTTGTCATAGAAACGCCACTCGTCTGCATGGTGTGAATACGACAAGGGAATTTGGCTGGCAATATGCCCCGTTACCAACACAAACTCTGTAAAACCTGCGCTGCGCAAGATACATTCAAGATCATACATGTTCTTCTTGAGCACCAAGGCCGAGTCTTCAGTAGTGCCTCTGTCGTTCATCACAGCTTCATCAGCTGGGAGTGTACCGACGTGCCGACGAAAGTCCCAGTTCACGTAAGACTGCGAAGATTCGTCAAAGAATCTACCGTTTGTGTTTTTGTGCGCTAGACCAAGGTTAACGCGGCGTCCACCACAGACAATGTAGAGTGGGGAAAGTGGAAATCCTAATCGCCGCAGTATCCATCGCCCTGCCATTGCCAAACAGTGATTGCTCGATTGGGATTGGTGGGCTCGCAGTAAAACGGCAGCGTAATTGTCTGGGTCGGGCATATCAATAAAAATAATATGGGTGCTAAGTACCACGCCTACTCTCCTGACAATGGTGATGGTTGAGAACCCAATAATCGCCATCATCAGAAATAGGATCGTACATTCAAACAATATATTAAAGTGATGGGCAGAATAAAGCGCAACTACAATGGCGCAAGAACTTCCAGTGTACAAGAAAGTAGCTGAATATGGCTGTCGCAATACAGTTTGAGACATGCTGAGGGAGACGAAAAGTAAGCACCTCTTGCTTATTACTAGAATAAACGGAAAAACAAAAGAGAATTAATACTGACTTCCTTAAAGCGTTAAAAATTAATAAAGAAAAGCCAAAGAAAATAATAACTCAGAAAGAGGCTTTGATAGGTCATGATACTCAACACAAAATTGACTGAACTTTGATTGGATACCAGTTTCCTTCAGTTTCAATTTTTGGTCACTTGACATGTCATGTGACCATGATTAAACGTTAAGGCACAAAAAGACCAAGATGCATTATACTTCTTTATCAAAAAAAGATTTAGCATTTGTGAAGAAACGAGTTGAAATGATGGTGTAAAGTAGATAAACTATCATCCACAGTCGTCCTTATCAGTCGTCAGTGTCATTATGTTGTTTATTATATAATTATAATTTCCAGTAAATTTAAGAGGGGGTAGGAAGGCCGTGGCCAGTTATTATATAATTATCATTTCTAGTAAATTTAAGAGGGGGTAGGAAGGCCGTGGCCAGTTATTATATAATTATCATTTCTAGTAAATTTAAGAGGGGGTAGGAAGGCCCTGGCCAGTTATTATATAATTATCATTTCTAGTAAATTTAAGAGGGGGTAGGAAGGCCCTGGCCAGTTATTATATAATTCTCATTTCTAGTAAATTTAAGAGGGGGTAGGAAGGCCGTGGCCAGTTATTATATAATTATCATTTCTAGTAAATTTAAGAGGGGGTAGGAAGGCCCTGGCCAGTTATTATATAATTATCATTTCTAGTAAATTTAAGAGGGGGTAAGATCAGGTGGGGGCCAGTAAAGGGCCAGTAGAGCAGTCAGTTTACTGGCTGCCAGTTTTTTTTTTTTTTTTTTTAACCTGCCACAAATTTGTCATTATTTTCGATTTTTAGCAAAATGGTCAAATGACATATCACGTGACTTATTAACACAATATTTATCCCTTAAAATGTTAAGGAAGATGAGCTCTTTAAGTGTTCCAAATTTTGAATCAGCTCCATAATACATAAAAGTGTAAAACTCTGACGGGGTTGGAATTTTAAGGGGCTATTTCATACTATTTGCTATCTGTTTGAAAAGCTAAAATAATATAATGTGTCTTCACGTCAATAATAAAAATAATTGCCTAGTTTTGTTATTTAAGACTTAAGGTATTGAAACCACGGGCAGACCACCCTCTGTTCATGTGGCCATTATTGTTATGAAATCTGAGCATCGGTCTTTTGTACTCACTAGAAGAAATGCAGACTAACATTATGCAGGGGCACCCAACGACAATTTTCGGAAAAATATCTGTTCGGAAGACGATTTGAGATCTAGAATTTTCGGAACATTTGTTGTAAAATTTCTTGCTTGCCTGCCTCTCCTAGGATTTTGGAACATCTAAAAAATGGTAAAATTGCCCATTTTCAACGGATTTTTACCCTAAAAAGGTCACCTAAAATTTTCGGGAGCCTTTTTTCTGGCTGAAATTTTCAAACAGGTAAGTTTTGATCCCTATAATTTTCGGATCACTAGACTTTCAGCTAGGAAATCCGAACAGGTGAAAAATTTATAGGGGATAAAAATATGCCCATATCCACTGTTTAAATACTAAAACACGTTTAACAAAGCTAT